CAACACTCACTGTAACCTTAACCAGAACCTTCAGAGGTAAACCCCCCCCAGAAAAACAAAAAAGGTCTTTTATCAAACCACCTGAACAACAAGCTTAAAAGAGAATGAAAGCTCCAATCCACTGCTTGTATTAAACAGAAGCAGCGTTACCGAATAAAGAATCCAAACTTGCTTTGCCACTAGCTCTTAATTTTGGCAGCTTTCTTGCAGACTTGGCTGCTGTCAGCCTGCAGCCAAGTTTATTTAATGTGTGTGGATGCTTACACTCCTGATTCACTCTGTTTATAGTAGAATGTTTCCAATCTTTATTTACAGTCTCCCACATTAAGAGCTTAATGGGAGAACACAGATATAATACACACATGCTTCTTGATAATTTTGTGCACATTCAAAACATGGACTGAAAGATGCTGCTGAACAAATTGAGCAGGATGTAAATTGTGCACATTTGCCAAATTGTAAATAAATTAAAAAGCGCAGAGAGTTGTGGGCTAACTCACCGAGCCATGAATATCTGTAATAAATTTGATGAAGGCATAAAGAATTGTGCTTTCATGATTGGGCTCCATATTGGCAATTTTTTTTTCTTGCTCTTATAATTTCCAGGCTTCCAAGTTTATTTCATACTTTGTTTCTATAACTAATTTTGAGCATCAGTATCATGGGATTTGTCATTGTTTGAATGGTAAAACTGCATCAGTTTCATGTCTATGGCATAGAGCATCTATTGATGTCTTTTCTGAAAACCGTCTGTATGTTTTGTGTGTGTTTGTGATGTGTAGTGCTTCTGTCAGTGTGTATATTATGTGAGTAAAGAAAGAGGGAAGCGGTACAGATGGTGGTACAAACAGTCCACATGGCTCATTCTCAGACGCTGGTAGCTTAGCAGCTTAAATACACACAGACTTTACACTGTGTTTTTTGGCAGGAAGTCCATCCTGGCTTTTTATCCATAAGGTGAGGATTCTACTTGAAAATCATCTGTTCACCAGCGTCGTATTTGTTTACATCGTCTAACAGATCGTTATTGCCACGCCCGGCCGTCTGATTGACGTGTTGGAGAACCGCTACCTGGTACTGAGCCGCTGCACCTACGTGGTCCTCGATGAGGCCGATCGTATGATTGACATGGGCTTCGAGCCCGACGTCCAAAAGATTCTGGAGTACATCCCGGTGACCAATCAGAAGCCAGACACCGAAGAGGCGGAGGACCCTGAGAAAATGACGATGAACTTTGAATCCGGGAAACATAAATACAGACAAGTAGGTCTTTCTTTAGCAGTTGGAATCTTCTGAAGGTACCACATGATTATCTGTTGAGTGTTTTCACTGATTGTGTGTCTGATTGCACCGTACAGACGGTCATGTTCACAGCTACCATGCCTCCCGCTGTGGAGAGACTGGCCAGGAGCTACCTGAGACGTCCTGCTGTGGTGTACATCGGGTCTGCTGGAAAGCCTCACGAGAGAGTCGAACAGAAGGTCCTGCTTATGTCGGAGGGAGAGAAGAGGTGAGACGGATGCAAGCATTAATCTTAAACACCAAAAATTTCACTTGCATCAAGATTCTAAATGTTTTGTATAATGTGCCCTTTGCAGGAAGAAGCTGCTGGAGGTTTTGTCGCACGGCTTCGAGCCTCCGATTATCATCTTTGTCAACCAGAAGAAGGGTTGCGACGTGCTGGCCAAGTCACTGGAGAAGATGGGGGTAGGTCACTGTAACCTGAACCACAATGGATCTCAATTTGGGGTCGAGATTTGGTAGAAGCTTCATGCTTTGGAGTAAAAAAAGTAACAATCATGTCAGGGGTGTCAAATATAAGGCCCGGGGATCAGAATAGGCCCGAGAAAGACTCCAGTCCAGCTCACTGGATGATTTTGGAAATATGTGAAAGACAGCATTTTGGATTTTAAATATTTTCCTACAGATAAAGACCTGAAGCATTGCCACTCATAATACACCAAATCAATTAATGGATAAACAGATAAATGACATTTGATGTTTGTGCCAGCCTGTAGAAATTTCTGGGGACATTTTCTATAAAATATCAACAAATATTTCATTGATTGCCTTAAAATTATTCTCGGATACGTTTAAGGTCACAAGAGAAATATTCCTAGAAGTTTTTGTTTTCCTACTAGCAGATCAAATTGTCTTGTTGCACTAAAATTATATTAATCACTCAAAAAACCCACAGTTTTAGTATAAAGAAGAAGTTATGAAAATTTGGAAAGCCAGATACATTAAAAGGCAACAACAGCTTTTTAATGCACAGTATTAGCCTCAGCTGTACTTGGGGTTCAGTGCTAGTGTTGCATCCTGACATAATGCTGAGTTTCGCCGTTTGTTGTCAGAAGTTTTATCCAAAATACAAAAGAAAGCCAATAAATCTCAGATGGAGGTTTAATTTTAATTCACTTTGGTTTCTGATTTCCTAAAATACTAAATATTTTGAGCAAAGATTAACTGTTCCTCCTTCTCTTCTTCTTTGTAGTACAATGCTTGCACGCTGCACGGTGGCAAAGGCCAGGAGCAGAGAGAGTTTGCGCTTTCCAATCTCAAGGCGGGAGCCAAAGATATCCTGGTGGCCACAGACGTTGCTGGGCGAGGTATCGATATCCAGGACGTCTCCATGGTCATTAACTACGACATGGCAAAGAACATCGAAGGTAAGAGGCCTCATCTGGTGTGCAGTGTTTGTTTATTGACTGAAATTAAATTTTTGCCATAGGAATCACTAAATGATTCACTGAATCGTTGTTGCACTTTCTCCTCTTGCAGACTACATCCATCGTATTGGTCGTACGGGTCGTGCTGGTAAGAGTGGTGTAGCCATGACTTTCCTCACTAAAGAGGACTCGGCGGTGTTTTACGACCTGAAGCAGGCCATCCTCGAGAGTCCCGTCTCCACCTGCCCTCCAGAGCTGGCTAACCATCCAGATGCTCAGCATAAACCTGGAACCATCCTGACCAAGAAGAGACGCGAGGAGACCATTTTTGCCTAAAATGACCTTTATCAACTGAAGGGGGAGGGGAAAACCCCACCAACTGTTTATTTTTCTCCCTCTCAGGATCTGCTCTCTAGGTTACTCTCACACATTTTGTTCTTTCCCACCTTGTCTTTATGTTTTGGTCCCATCTGTGCGTGCAGAAACACAGTAACTGGTGCCGAAGTCGTCAGCACACTGGTTCTCATCAGTGTGGGTGGATTAAGATAACTTTAAGATAACTTTGTTTTGCGTCTGTAAGCCAGAACCAGGAGCAGTATGCAGGACCCCAATCTGATCTGATCTGTACTGTATAAATACCCAATGCACCAAATTACAGGCAGGATGTGAGTGTAGATGAGCAGTAAGTGCTGTGTTTTTAGTCATAATTTGAGTTTTCTATGTAAGAAACCTTTACCAGAAGTGACACCAGTTTTCTTTGCTTCAGATACATCATTTGATTAAAATGGAAACAGCTGTTTTAAATGTATGATGTGAATACAGCAAATTTGAGCTTCTTAACTGTCAAACTGAGTTTTTTTTTTTTTTCTTTTTGCATTAAATTACACGCGAAATGTGGAGTTTTCACAAGTAGAAGAGCAGTGTTTCCTTTCAACATGCCAATTATAGAGCTCTTCATATCTCCTTTAGTTTTCCTCTTGGCATTTCCCACCTATATTCTTTAACCTTTTATTCCTTTATTTAACCAGAAAAACTCTTTGACCCCAATATCTTTTATATAGGAAAACTTGTTAAAGCTCTTTATGTGTTTATCTATGCCATGTGGCTCACCACCTTCAAGAGGCACCATAGGGGTCAGGTGCAGTGTGTGTTGGGCAGAGGCCCTAGCAGTCCAATCACCAGCTGTTGAGGCAGGCTTTTTGGACATTGCAGTAATAATGATAGAGTAATGCAAAACTCCCTATTTCTTCAAAATTTACATTTGAAAATGAAGGAATATCGAACTATTACCTGGCAATTACGTGGTAGTGGGACGTCATAATAACACCATAATACTGAAGTTCAATCATTTCTGCTAATACAAAGAGAGGCAGAAAGTTCTGTTTTTGAAACTATGAATAACTATAACTTTATCAATACGGAAAGTTTTAAATCTAATCTTAAAAGTAGAGAGGGTGTCCAAACTGGGACTTGTTCTACAGAAGAGGGGCCTGGAATCTGAAGGCTCTGCCTCCCATTCTTCTTTTAAATATCCTTGGAACCACAAGTAAGCCAGCAGTCTGAGAGTGTGGTGCTCTATTGGGGGCACTATGAGGTGTTTAAGATAAATACCTCATAGATTATTCAAGATCTTGTATTTGAGGGCAAAGACTTTAAATTAAAAAATGACTCCAAGATTCCTCACAGTGTTACCAGAAGCCAGGAAATGCCACCCAGGGTAAGTACCTGGTTACACACCAGGTTTCTAAGATTTTTTTTAGGCCAGTATAATAACTTAACTTAGAGGTCGTCCACATCTTCGTCTTTAAGACATTCCTGATGTCTGGTAGGTTTCATCTGACTTTATGGATAGATAAAGCTGGGTATCATCTGAATAGCAATGAAAATGTAAGGTGTTCCTTCTAATAATACTGTCTAAGGAAGCATGTATAATGCATATAGAATTGGTCCCAGCACAGAACCTTGTGGAACTCCATAATTAACTTTACTGTGTGAAAATGACACTATTTACATGAACGAATTGGAATCTATTCTGTATGCTTCAAACCACTCCAGCACAGTACCTTTAATACATATTGCATGCTCATGCAAACCAATGCATGTCATTGGTATCAGATGCTCATAGATGATTCCACTGTCAGCAGCCATAAGAACATCATTCATAACCTTCACAGTATTTTTGTACAGTGATGAATTTTGAATCCTGACTGAAACTGTTAATCCAGTTGGAGATCCACTTAATTCTTATGGCAGACAGTCCTTTCCTGCTACACATAAATGCTCATAGGTATTGGTCAGTAAATGACAATGAAAGACAAATGAGTTACACCATTAAAAGTACATAAAATGTCATGTTTATTTAGTTTAATTCATATTTTACTTAACATTGTAAATCTATTTTCAAATAGAAAGCATTCTATACAGCATCAGGCAGGAAATGTCTCACTTTTTCATTTGCTTTCTCTTTTGATAAATAGAGGGAAGAGGCGCGTCAGGTCACGCTAGCACGCTGTGGTAGTCTGGTGGATATATGGTTATATTTAGTGCAGTTATTGCATTACAAAGCAACCATCCCAAAAAAAAAGTAGTGCAATTTTTTTTTCTCTACTCACACAAAAGAGGAAGTCCAGATGGTCTAAGGCGTTTAAAGTTTTTCAATGTTAGGCTTTGTATTGCATACAGAATAAGACAGAGGAAACTGAAGTATAACTCTTGTAAAAATTGTGCTTCATAAATCGAAAAACCTTCAACTGTTTTATCAGTTGCTAAATTGGTCCGCGTTGAAAAACATACTCTGCCAAAATATAACGAAAGGAGCTAATTGTTGAACTAAGACATGCAGGGCTTAGATAATCCACTCATTAGATCACAAATTAACAAAATCAAAGGCCTGATCTGGGACGGGTTTTTTTGTTTTTGTTTTGTTTTTTCCCCCCAGTGAGTGACTTTACCGTGGAAGAATGTCCTCAGTGTTAAAGGTGTGTGAAGAAATAAACAGATCTTTTTAGTAATCGTGTTGTTGGTGGTGCGAGGAGTGAGTAGCCCCAAAGACAAGACTATCACTACAAGACGACGAGGAGAGTCAGAATCGATGCATTACTAAAATACTTCAAAAGAAACAATCAGATTTCATGCAACACTTGCATAGATTTTTTTCTTAATATTTTTTTCAATCATGCTGATTTTTTTTTCTCTTTAAAATATACAGAACACTAGATAGAGATACCTGTGACACATGGAAGCAGTAAACCAGGGTTTCCTATCAGCCGGCCGTGACAACAATCCACCCTGTGTAAGGAACAGAGTTGGGCCGCCGCTTATCAGCATCGCGTCCACCTCGTCGTCGGCTCACGGACTAGAAATGGCGCAGGAACAGAATGACGTGTCACGAGTGCTACAAGTCCTCGGGGAGCACGACACGGTCGTTACATGGAGCTGAGCGCGATGAGTGTTGTAGGACATACACCTGAGGATCCGCCTTTGTAAAAACCAGCTGTAAAACTGCAGTACGCAAACAATGTTCGACACACAAAAAATATCCGAGGAGAGTGAGGTGGATGTAAGGGGAGTGAGATCAGTTTAGAAACTGTGGATGCTACAATCAATAACGTGCTACAATCGAATTTACGGGGCGTTAGGTTGTGCGACCAAGTGGTGCTGGAGGTGCAAAAGGCATGCAAGCTTACATTCTCTGAAGCCTGGATTTGAAGAGGAGCTGCAGCTGTGCAGCATGTGCTTGAAATATGTGTATGAGTGGATGTAAACAAGCGTGTGTTTTTTTTTGTTTTTGTTTGTTTTTTTGGCAAGGAATTCATCCTTTAAAAGATTTAAAACATTCCCTTTCATGGTTGTGTTTACATTCTCTGTGCCCATTCAAAGATTTTTTTTTCTTAAGAGAGTGATTGTGCAACAGCAAAGACGAGCGATGCCCAGAACGTACTGCACTGTAGGTGACGCTGACGCTGTACTGCAGCTTCATATCGATGACGTTTTAACTGTTTAGAGACTGTACAATGTCTCTCCAAAAATCTCCGTTCACCGAACACATGGATGGCAACAAACAAGTCCATATAAACAAAATCAAACAAATAAAGTAGCAGTGCCCATTCAGTATATACATTGGAATCAAATGCATTACTATTTCCCATAACTGATTCAGCGGTAGACATTCCTACGTTAGTTTATCCATAAAGGTCATTCACTTCCTGTTCTGACGTTAATGTGCAAATAGTCTTAAAATTATACATGCAATAGTAAAGATCGTTAAAAGTCTTAGGAATTTTAAGGCCAGTATATGAGACATCCTACAATAGAGAAACCTTAGGCAAAGCAGCTAAAGTTTGAGTTTGCGTACAGCTGGTAGCCTGAAACTTTTCCCTTTCAGAGGTGAGTAGGCCCCCTGGAAGATTGTGATTGGTCGATAAACTGGGCATCTGTTTGTGTTTGTTTCCAATTGGCACTAAAGTTTGGCGAATCTGGGAACAAATTTCATCTCTATGTTGCTAGTTTGGGCCTGTGCGGTGGGTGGAGGGCTTGGGGGGGAGCTGGAGGCTGGAAGGGGCCCCTTGTCTCAGTAGGTGTCTCGGGGCCAGGGGCGGCTGCGCTGGCGGTTCCTCTGGTTGTGACCTTGCTGAGCTTCGCGCTGGAGCAGCCTGTCTTGTGACTCGTGCCCGTTGGCGCTGTGGGCACCGCCCGTATGGCCGCGGTGAGAGGGGTACATGTCCCTATATGTGCGAGCGTGGCAGGGAGAGGCGTATTCATCCTCCTCATCTTCCTCCTCCTCTTCTTCCTCTTCCTCCTCTTCATCCTCCTCGCCCCCCCTGTGACAGGGGCTCCCCCTCCGGCCACGAGAAAGCGAGTCGCTGGCTTCGTCAGATGGCATAAGACTGTCCTGCTCCAGGGGGGAGTGGGCCTCCTCGCCGGCCTCCTCTTCCTCATCACCCTCCAAGCCTGCTGTCTCACAAGGCTGCGGCTGGTTCTTGTTCTGGATGATTCAAGTGGTCATGCAGGAAAAAAATACAAATAAAGGCAGAGTCACATCAAAGCTTGGACTCAGGATATCATCTCGAAGGAAAAACACAAAATAAGGCAAACACTACATCAATAAGGACTTTGAAGGAATTGTGGGAGTCTGTCTGAAAGGAAAATTCTGGTTTCTTTCTCATTATTTCCCACTGAAGTAACTATTTTGAGCCTACAGAAGACATTGAGCTCTCCAAGTCTCTGATCACAGTGTGATCAGATCAATGCCCAACCGTCGTTCTAAGTGGTCAGTTTTTATGTTTATTTTTAGTAGATTTAAATTAAGACTTTAAAATGATTCATACAAAATTGTTTCTTTTCTTTTCCATGAACAGCATAAAGTTAGCATTACCCTCAGAGACCAATAGAATATGGCAGACTCAAATCATTCCTCACATACCCACGTGTGCCTTTAAAAAAGCTTCTTACTGAACACAAAGTGACACCTACTGTAGGAGTTTAGGTACAGTTTAGACCACAGTCTTTGTTCTGTTTAAACAGGTGTCGAGTATTAAACGAGTATAAAGGGCAAAGGTGTCACTTTTATTTTTGCTGAAGAGCCGTGCCCAGTTTTACTTGATCTTGGTTAGTAAAACTACTGAATAATGACCAATGAAACAATGTATCATCTTTGTATCTTTGTGTTAGTGTTTGAAAAGGTTCAATCTTCACTAACAATCCCTTACAATCAGATAGGAAAAAGCCTCAGCTGTCTTAAGAAAAAGAAGTGCAATTTCATCACATTCAGATGGTCATTGCAAAAAACCCAACAAAAACAAAACAAAAGAACTTAAGTGAAATATATATGTGATATCTTTGTCAGTAAAACTGCTGCAAAACTGATGACGATTCAGACCTCTTGCTCACATAAAAAGTTATAATGCGATCACTCTTAACACCGCAATACTTCCTGATACAAAATACAGAGAAAAGTCACAAAAATAATGCTGTGCATGTCTGCAGTTTTTACAATTCGAAAAGCTACCTAGTAGGCCACATTGGACCATTTGGCGGGCCACTTACAATTCCTTGTACATATCTTGGACACCCCTGCAATTCAATGCTACTTTTATGATTCTTTATACGGCCTGAGGACTGTGGGCTCTGTAATCTCTCTTCTACATCGGAATTGCATTAACAGTAAGTAAGAGTAAGACAACAACACAAACTATTGATATCAATTGATAAAAGATGTAAGTACGTCCTCTGCTGCTTGTGGTGCTATATTTTCTTATGTAACTCCAGCCCCACACCACCCTGAATTGGATAAATGGTAAAGAAAATGGATGAATGGATGGATATTCCAATGTAAAGTAAGCTACCGTAACCCAAAAGCTTAATTCCGTGACACAGAGCTGCAGAACTACAGTTGTGGTCAGAAGTTTGCATTGCACTTATAATCGACATGAATGTCATGGTAATATAGGGCTTTGATTTCTGCTAATGCTAATGATTTCTTTGAACTGTTATTTTTCCACAGTGGAATAATTGTACAGCATACATCTTTAATGAAAAAAATGAATGGGTGCACAAATTTTAATTTATCCAGTTTGTCCTGTAATCCACACAGGCTCAAATATATACATATTACACATATTTGGTTAAATGTTCCCTAGCAAGATTCACCTCGACCTCATGCTTTTGATTGTCATCAACAACCTTCTGCCATAATTCTTGCCTGGACATTTGACCACTCTTCCTGGCAGAATTGGAAGAGTTCAGAAATTTTTTTGGTTTTCTGGCACAGACCCGACTTTTAAACATATTCCACAAGGTTTCAAAATGTATTCCAGATGCTTAATGTTAGCTTTATCCAGTCCAAAACCATTTTTGATGTGTGTTTGTGATCGTTGTCCTGTTTGATCACCCAATTATCTTCATGTTTCAACTGTCCAGCTGTGTGTTGATCTGAGGTAAAGGTGAAGAATTTGCATGTAGTCTTCTTCTTCATTTTTCCATCCACTTTGTGTAATGCACCAGTACCGCTGACAGGAAAACAGCCCCAGAACATGATGCTGCCAGTGTATGTATATGTTTGAGCCTGTATATATACTTCTGTCCCTGTGTGAATTAGAGAAAATTCAAAATAAATTCAAACTTGTGCACCTACTTGGCACTGCTCGAATTATTAAAATGTTTGCTGTGCAACGATTCCACCCTGGAGAAAGAAGCCAAAATGACCATGACATTCATGCTCATGATGAGTGTATGTAAACCTCTGACCACAACTGTAGGTAACATTAAAAAAAGCCTATATAATGACCAAAAAACTCCTATTTTTACTAAAATTGCAAGAAATAGCAAATGTGATGTATAACCTCAGAGATATTGTGGCATTTTCTAAAATATCAAGGTATAGAAAACTGGGATTACTTGTTCTTTAATCAACCTGCAGTCAGTGTCATAAACCGCAGGTAAGTAAACTGCAGAAATAACACAGAGCTGAGCGACATAAAAGGGTGATAGTGTTCATAAGTGGCATGCAGAAGTGCAGCAGTGTTGTTATCTTCAAAGTCCTTTGTTTTGTCGGTGTGTGTATAGATTAATACAACAGACACTGAACAAAAAAATGCATGTGAAACGGCTGAATGGATGTTCAGGAAGTTCCTCTTGGAGGTAAAAAGTTATTTTGCCGATGCTGTGGACTCATTTTTTGTGTGTAAATTTGCATTTAGTTCAGGTGAAAGCATCGTTTAAGCACCCATCACTCGCTTTAATTAGCATCATTCAGGTAGCTTCATGTGCCACAGTGAGCGGGGACAGCATTCACAAAGCATGCTTGGAAACTGAACACAATAGGGAAAGTTAGATTTAACAAAACCAATATATTTCAATTGTAGTATTAAAATGGAGACAGAGCTTAGCTGCTTTGTGAATAAAGCTTGTGGAGCAGTGATTCACCTGAAACCATCCAAGTAAAGGAAAAGAGGCAGGATGCAGTAAATTAAAGACAAACAACAGCAGAAAAACAAAAACACACCAGGTCTAATCTTTTCTGAGAGTTGAATGAATAAAATGCTTTTCATTCACTGTCTCAGCCGCAGGGTCGTGTTCGGGTGTCGGAGGTGCGCAAGAGGGGTGCAAATATATATACATATTATATAAACCCTACTACTCACCCCAGTTTGTACGCGATCATTCAATTAATTCCTGTGTTTCAGAAAACTGCAAAGATGTTAAGCATGGATGAGTGAGAGGACAGACAAGACAACTGGAGACAATTAAACAAAACACAGGAGTGAAGCCTGAGATGGGAAGAGCTGGCAAAGACAGTGACAACATACAATGTGTTCAAAAAACAAGGCTCGTTGTCAAAAGTCTTACATTATTTTAAAAGCGTATTTTTACGCTCTCCTGATTTATGTACACACTCAGAGACAAACTTACCTGTAGGCTAGAGATGGCAGAAGGCGGGGTCATGAGGCTCTGCTCCAATAGTGGATTAAGAGGGGTGTTTCCTGGGAGGTGAGTGGCACGCCAGTAAACCTCCAAGTATTCAGCCAAATGCTCACAAGCATCTTCCAACTGGTTCTCATCCAAAATGACATCAAACATATCCTACGAATGTACAACATGAAAAATTAGACTGTAACTCAGTGGCATTCTGTTAGGACAAGCAGTGCTTGCATTATTAAATCTAGAAATAAAGTAAAATACATTGAAACATTCCAAACTATAGCGATCTCTCTCCTCATCTCAGACAGTGCTGTCATAAAGCACCTTGCCTGTCAATTAATACGCACCCAGTCTGTACATTACTGCCATCTTGTGTTAGGTAGTTGGCTATTGTCGCTGAAAGCTGTGCTTATTTCATGACATAGCAAAGTGTAGTCGTCTCCTTCTCTGAGGGGGTGTCTGTTTCCTGCTAACAATAACTGCTGCTAGGCAAGCGGAGAGGCCAGCAGTTTTTTTTCTGGTGGTTTGCGCATGGGCACTGCGGATAAACCTCTGGTCTTTGATGGTAAACTAAGGGGAGAGCAGAGTGCGAGGCAAGCTGCCGCTGGTCTGCTTTCACTGCTTTCACTGCTTCAGGATCAGTTATGACCTGCGCTTTGTGTGGAAACACAGCTAGCATTAGCAAGTTTTCTCTTGCTAATCACCTTGGCCAATTTCTGAGATGTAGAGGAGATGGCACGTGAAAACATTTTTAATAACTTCAATACATTAGAAAGGAAAGCAATGTCAAGGCAGCTCTGACCATGCCTGGTCTAATAAAACAGGCAAGTTGAACAGGCGCAAGCTCAGGAGCACTTTTAGATTAGCATCTATGAGAATGTCTGAGTGCAATAAGCTTAACCAGCTGTTTTGCTAAAACTCCACCTTTTTTTTTCATTCGTATTTTAATCCCCCTGTAGATACTAACAGTTAACCATGCCACACACTGCTCAAGCCTTTAATTCAGATGATTTTTTTTTATATTAAATATTTGAATATACTTTTTGAAAATCAAAAAAATCATTTTACATGATCATGTAAAATGTCCAAACTGTATGGACTTATTACAAACTGTAGCACTCACAGGGGGGCACTGAGAGAGTTTGTCTGCAGCCATCATCTGAACATTCAGGTGCTTGCTCTGAGACTTCCCCCTGGATTTGATCAGCCTCTGGAGCACCTGAGAAAAAGAAACAGATGGTGTAAGAAACCAAGAAAGATAAGACTGCCTTAATCTAATGTTCATGAGCAAGGTGTACCTTTGGTGAGGAAACTTTAACATAGACAATGATGGGTGCAAGGGAGGTTTTGGCGAGCTGTGCGGGATGGTTGATGGTGTCTGCGTCCAGAACAACCAGTTGCAGGGTTTTGGCGAGTTCAAATATCCTTTCAATCTCACTCTGAACCTCAGCTGCACAGACAAGAAACATTAGATTATCAAAGTTGATTCCCTTCCCTAAATGTAAAATAGAGGTGGCCAACCTCAAAATACAACAATTTTGGTTTGTCATTAAGTGTGAACTGGATAAGATCTTCACCACTGGCATCAATGGCACCGGATGATACTGGAATATGTGTCACTGTGGATTCTCTATTTATTTATTTGTATTCTTGAGCCGGGTTGTTTGTTTTGTCTGTTTTGTTTTATTCTGTTATGTTGGTTTTGTTTTGTTTAATGATGGTGTCAGTGTAAAGTTTAAAACTCAATAAATACATGGAAGAAAAAAAAAATTGCTTCCCTTCAAAAAAAGAAAGAAAAAAGAAACTTGTGGAACTTTCATACTGGCATCAGCATAGCTTACCTAAGCTCGAGCGAGTGTTGGATCTCTCCATTATGGGTCTTTTGTTAAGGACAGATCTCTTGGCTAAGGACAGGTCGGCAGTTACACGGGTGATTGAAATTCTGTGGACAAGTTGCAAAATGCAGGTAAATATACACTGAAACTCTTTCACTGAAATAAAGGCCTGGCTTTCACCAACTACTTGATTTATTATATAATCTCCCCATTTTACTGACCTTCCCTCAAATCTGTGTTTCAGGAAGTCAAAGAGAGCTTTCTGCATCATATCTGTCACCTTTGGGAACATAACAAAAACAATTATTACAAACACATTATAATTAAAAGGCTAAGACATCCTGCTTCCTCTTATTGTTTTTCAAATGTATGCTGCTAGAGTTGTTCATGTTAGTACTAAACATGGTCAAATCAAATAAACCAAAATGTTATGCTTCAGACTGCTCTTAACACTTGACTCTGGACATTTTTTTCTATTCTTGGCTTGGTACGATATCAGTGAAAGTGGATTCACCCATCCACCTGCTAATCAGCCAATCAGAAGAATGCTATTTTGAAGGGAGGATGGCAGGAGGTAAAACAGCTTCTTTCAGCGAGTGGATAAACTGTACTTAGCACCAAGGCCCAGTTTAACATAAATAAAGATTATTTTAAGATCTGGATCCTGCAAAGTGGTTTTAGTGAAGTCAAAGATTTATAAGTAACTAAAAAGTAAAATTCTGGAAATTACCAAAACAGTTCAAATAAATAAACAAAACATAAAATGTTTGGGTTACTACAGTAAAGCGTACTAGGTACACTTGTTAGACTGTTCGCTAAATGTCTAATTAGCCAATCACATGGCAGAAACCCAAAAAGTCCACTTGAATCAAAGTACAGTTACTTCATAAAAGACAAAAGCTTGAGTACAGGAGTCATGAAAACAATTACTTGTGCAAAAGGATGAAACTGTCTACTGAAAAATAACTTATGAGTAAAAAAGAGACATAAACATGCAACTGTATCAATAGTCCAGCTTTGATGAAATTCTTGATCCTAATTTCCTAAAAGTAGTAAGTAGTGTTAATTACAGACTGCATAATCGTCCAAATTTCCAAAAACTGTAATGGCTGTCAAATGGCCCTTAACAAAGTATAAATTCAGGGTCTGAGGACTTTCATAAATGCAAAATCACAGTGTCATTTTCTCATTATGAGTGTAGACTAAATAGCAAAAAAGTCATCATTTAATATTTGAATATTTTCCAATAACTTTCAAAGGACAAATTTACATGAGCTAATAACGAATGCAGCAGTGCAAATAGTGCAGAGGAAAGCAGTCGTTCTGTCTGCTGGAGGTGAAATGGGGAGAAGCTGACCTCATAGCCCTTCAGCGATGGTCCCACGAGAACCACCGGCCTCATAGAGGGCACCACATCATAGGGAGGGACATGTTCCTACCAGAAATAGAGGAGGACAGGAAAGGGGATAAAGAACAGCGAAAACAGGGGTGAGAAATGATGGGAGTTGGGTTTGGTTGTTGTTTTTTACCCTCATATTCAATCAAACAATGACCGAAAAACCAGTATTAAGACCTGAAGTTATTTAAATGCATTTTGGTTTTATAATATTACATAACAATAATTACTGGTATTAGTTAATCAACTAACCTGACAATGAGACAGGTGACAGAAAAGGGATTGGTTAGTTGTAAAATATTTAAAGGTTTTGCTAAAATCACTCATTTTAAGATCAGGTGCTTCCAGTGTACTACTGCACTGATTATTTTAATATTAACTCCATAAAAAAACAATTAAGCAACCTCCTATACTCACAATCTGTTACACCAAGCCTGCTTGTAGTTTCTAATTGTATAACCTATTTTTGTTTATTTTCCTTGGCCTCTCTTACTTTAGGGAATTCAGTATTATCTTCTACAAACTCTGTGTTGTTTAGAGTGAAAAATTAAAAAAAAAAAGCATGAATTATAAGCAAATTCTACATCATCATAAAGTACCAGAACCTACCTGTTTTTGCTTCTGTTTAGCTTGTGAAAACAAGAAAATAGCAATCAGTGACAGAAACTGATAAAAGACAGCAGAAGCTGCTTTTTGTTTCAGGACCAGAAGAAGGTTTGCTGTACTTACATTCACCTGCAGATGGCGGCGTCGTCCTCCAGCTCCCTGTCACCATGTCTCCTAAACTTGAGGAGTTACCTCCTGTTTTCCTGCAGAAGCAGCAGCAAAGACACATTGAACTACCGAAGCTGTTTTGTGGAAATAGATCACCTGAGATGAAATGAAATAGCTGACCTCTGTTTCTGCTCCTGTTTCAGTCGCATTGCCTCCAGTCGTAGAGGGCTGGGGATGAAGGTGATGTCTGCTCCTTCTTTTACTAGCCGGCCGATCCACCAGTCATTATTGTACTTCTGTTAAATTCAGTTCAAAAGTAGCACTGGTTTACATACAGCATGTGTCTTGTTTTAATATAATGAAAGGGCATATTATTATCATTATTATTAGTAGTAGTAGTACTAGTATTATTCAAAACAGATAATCTCACTTCTTTGATGTGCAGGAAGTCTTTGGCATCGAAATTGACTGCAGCTCCTTGGACTGGACAGTCCTCATCCAGAGCTCCACAGTAACTCACATTTGTCTTTACTGCAAACGCTACAGGTTTGGACTGTGGTGTCAACAAATAAGAACATGAAGAAGACTTGTCAGTGATCCAAATGCTCTGCAAACATGTGAGACTCGAGGACAAGAACAGAGTACAATAGATCAACTCCTTGTTACTTGTTACTTCCTTTGATTGAATCAGCAACCAATCACACAGCACAAAAGATGGTGACCAGACTAGCAGATTATCAAAGGATGTGACCGGGTGGTAATATGCCAAATATGTGGCTCAAATAGGAACGCACCAATACAACATTTACATTGGATAATGGTCAGATCCTTACTCAGAAATCAGTGACAGTGATTGTGCACATGATGTCACATGATGTCACCTTTCATATTGTTCTGTTTACTTCACCGCACAACAGCAGCAGCTAGCAGAAGCACTAACAGCAAAGTGTTAGCAGTTTAGATGCCTCCTTTACCAACAACCCGTCTTTCTAATAACAATTTTTTTAAAGTTACGTCAACACACTGCTTGTTTGCTCATTTATTATATTCAGTCAGAAAAGTATCAGGTAGAAGCTGGTGCAAAAACATGTTGGAAAGCTTTTAATATGGTTACAGTAGCATAATGTGTCATAGTCAACTCAAATAATATTATTTTGCTCCAACTGTCCTCTGAAAAGTAAACTAGCACAACTGTAAAAGACAAAGGTACTTAGACTAGTGCAAATACATTTGACAAATCCATTAGTTATCTTGGGCCTGTTGTTGCTTATTTTTTTTACCAATTAATATCAACTCATTAAAAATATACTCTTGGTTACAGAGTTAGGAAAGATATGTTTAAAATTAATAGTGATGCTTCCATAGACATAACAAATGACTTCCTGCCTCTTTCTCATAGTGATGAACAAAGTTTGATCATTTAACGCTAATTTAGCGGTATCAAACAGCACAAACGATGAAAAATGATTAGATTTTCAGATTTCTTTGTAAAAGCACCGACATTAACATCTCCTTTGCTGACTTTTACCTACAACCTAGACTCTTCTACTTCAAAATTCAACTGGAGAGATAGAGCCAAATGTTTCTTAGATATTTTCGTTCATAAACAGTCTAAACACAGCAATGTGTAGCTACGATAATGACTGTATGGTGTACCTTAGCTCTGTCGAGCTGCTGTTGTGCCTGGCGCTCGGCTTCACGCCGATACGCCTCGCGGTCCTCCTCTGCTGACAGGTCTGAATCAGATGGTCTACTGGTGTACGAATCAGCTGACCCCTGTCGGGAAAGAGTGACATGATATTAGTGGCACAGTGTTTAATAACTCAGTGAGTCACATGAAGATCATCCAGTCATGTTAACATTACTTAGGCTGTATTACTGTTTGTTTTTTCTTTCATCTGCTTCTCCCTTTTAGCGTTTGTTTGAGTGCAGGTGTGCATGCAAATATGTGCCTGTACTCATGAACACATTCATGTGTGTGCATCTACAAAACAATGCGTTGCTCTCCCACACCAGCCATCTTCTGAGAGGCCAAATATAGCACAAAGGAGGCAAGAGCTTCCTCTTCTCTCCTGCTTGGCCCCAATCCAGTCCATCATCCCCCACAGTGCAGCATATATACATCATTTATTCCCCTGTTTATTCTCCAAGGACATCTCCTCATTAGCAAAATATATGCTGGTTATCATTTTTCATTGTAGGACACATACCAAGGATGGCTAGCATGTCATGCTGAGGGCGAGGGATAAAGCAAACAAAGAGCTATTTTACACAATAAGTAAAATAGTGAAAATAGCTTCATAGGTCCTTCTTTTATTCACAAAAAACTCTCATTTTCTTAAAATAGCTGCAACCATTAGTCAATTAATCAATTAGTCAATCAACTAAAAATGAACAGGGAAATATTTAGGTAAACATTTTAATCAGATTCCAGTACCTCAAGTGTGACGTTTTCCGGTTTTTCTTGATCTCATGTGAGAGTAAAGTTAATATTATGGTTCTGAACTGTTAATGGAAAAAAAGGCTTTTCAAAATAGCCCCACAGATTCAATCAATAGTAATAATAACAATTGCAGTTTGTATACAATGTACAAATGGACTTCCACAGTAATAGTTTGGTTACTGCGTGTCCCTGTGAGCGTGTGAGTTCTCCTATATTTGGCTTCTCTTAAGGAACTCAGTTCTGAATCTGTCAGCAAAAAGAAAACCAAGTCAGAGAAGACAAAATACAAAGGGGGTTGTGGCAGGAGAGAAAGAAAAATCTGTGGTGGTGGTCATGAAAATGCTAAGGTAAACCTCTATAAATGACATGATCAGCCATATTGTTGTAAATAAAACAAAATGTTGAGAAACTAAAAAACAGCAGAAATACAGTTCACTTTGGTTTTCCTCTCCTCCAGAGTGCAGCGATTCAGTCCCGATCATCCATCTTGCCCACATATACAAACAGATCCTCTGGAGGACCAATTAGCAACAGCAAAACAAAAAGAAGTACAGGCACATAATATAGACACACACACATACACAAAGTGTCCAGACATACCCCCCCCCCCTCCACAAAACAAAACAAACAAACAAAAAAAGAACCAGCCAGCACCTTTGCTTTCTCTGCACTTCAAAACGCATGCATGCAATCCAAAATAAATCATCATCTACAGTACCACTGCAAGCGAACACCTCTCCTCGTTTCTTTTTTTGGTGTGGTGGTGTCTGTTAGATAACTAGATCTGATTTCTAGCACTCAGAAGCTCTGCAAGGCAACACTGCACCAGTGCCAGAGAGCAGCACCGTCAGAAAAAAGGAGGGTGAGAAAGAACGGGTAGAAACAGACAGCGAGAGAGAGAGAGGGTGGGGGGGAGGGAATGGAA